GCGCCGCGCGGCGGGGCGGGAGAACGGCCGCAGACCACATGTCAGGAGCGGAAAAATGGCTGTGGATCACCTGTCAGGGCGGAAAAATGACCATACCCTGAGGTGGAGTTCGCACATTGAGGTAAATTTTTGCAGCCGGAGCTGGTCGTAACCCGAAAAGGTCGTTAGTAGAGGCGTTCGTATCCCGAGGTACCACTGTACTGCTGCAGTTAAGAGCAAAAGAGAGGCAGCTGATGTCTTAAACAGGATTATAATTTGCCTGTGCTGTGCTATTAAAATGTGGAAGTACAAACATAAATTTATATACCAGCAATGTAACAATCTTCTGTGGTAAAGTGTAAGAACAAAGGAGCAAGAAAAAAAAATAAAAGAAAAAATCAGTTAATAATCTAAGTGAGTAAATATTTAGGAACCTGCTTCAGTAAGTGATTGATAGATAGTTCCTTCTTTTTCCCATGACATATTCTTAGAACTGACTTTTGTTCCCCAATGACAGATGACTGAATTTGTCCAGGAAAAAAAGGTGAAGATAAATTGCAGTAATACAGAACTTTATTATGAGCTGGAGGAGTTTGCATGAAGCACGTTCACCATCATGAACATGTGCTTTGTGCTTGACCACCCTCACCGTGTCAGTCGCTTTATGAATATGCAAGCCCCGCCCAGGTAGCAAATTTGCAAGTGTGCTCATAATTTGCTCCCAATATTCCAAAAACCCTAAAAGGTTCCCTATCCATTTGCCCTTCACCTCCCATTTTAATAGGGAAGGCAATATTTTAAAAATTCTGGAGTCTGGACTTTTTCCATTATTTCTACTAAAGGAAAAACTATTACACTTTCTGAAATTGCCTGGGAAACAGCTGGAATTTAAGTAGCTTGTGTTGAAGGAAGCAAATGTTTATTTAGATTACATGATATATCTTTTCCGAATAGGTATCTGAACTAGTCATATCTACAGAAAAACACATGCCTATATATTTTGTCACTGTTAGAAACAAATTTTGACTATAATCTAGGACTAATCATTTAAAAAACAGGTAAAATGAATCTTCACTGTCTTATGAAACTAAAATTACTTCTTGATTTCTATTTTAGTTAAATTTGCTGCATAAATGAGGGGGTTTTTTTGGTGTTATTTACAAGTGTAAACCAAAAGGACTGTAGTTAGGGCAATTATCCTTCAAAATGGTAACAAAAAACAATGATATGGCACATTTTAATTTGCTTATAAAAATATTACCTTTTGAATGTGTAGTTCAACATCTTGCTGGGTGCAGCCACCAATTTTATGTGGCACTTTTCTTACTACACCTTCAATGTCAACAATGCTCTCTTTGTTGATGCTGTCAGTAAAAACAAAATAAATAACTGCATCAAAGATTCATTTCAGTTTTGAACAATTATTTAGTTATCAAGATAGCTACATAATTTTTAAAAGAAGCTGTAGACATTTTTAGAATAAAATAGAACATTTAAGGAGGTTATTTAAAATACTTCATTAAGAAGGAATGTTTCTGTTAAATTATTTCTTACAATAAATAACAGGATTAAGTTAAAATAATTTCTGATTCAATCATTATATCATATTTCTGGGAAGCTTTAAAGAGAACCTAAAAATCAACACAAATACAGAATAAAGAAAACAAAGAAAGAAAAAGAAAAGAAAAAAGACAAAAGACAAAAGTACAGAACAAAAAGATAAAAAGAAATAGAAAGAAAGAGCTTCCAATTTTCTCTGCAGTAAATATGATTACAAAGTTATCTCTTACTCTAGGATTACAAAAAAACCTCACTTTTTTTCTATTATCTAATTTTTTCCCCTAAACATCAAAACCACGAATCACAGGTGCATTTTTTTTCTGTTTCATTCAAAAAGTCTATAAAGCGTTTTCAGTCAGCCATGGATGTAGATATTGTTTTTTCTCTAATCAAAGAAGTCAATTTAGCCATTTCTGCAAGTTTCAAAGTCTTTACCAACCGTTCCTCTGTTGTGGGTAGTGTCAAACTTTTCCACCTTTGAGCATATACAGTGGGGCAAAAAAGTATTTAGTCAGCCACCAATTGTGCAAGTTCTCCCACTTAA